AAGTGCCACAGTCATATCAGTCAATGTAAAAAGAAACAACTACCGGGTCAAACTTACCTTAACTGTTTGATTCTTAGTGAGTGCCTCAGGTGCACTGTAAATTGCAGCCCCTGGAGCAACTGTCATGGTCTGTTGCTTAAAATTAGCCGTACCATAGTCTGACACCTTAGCTCGCCATTGGTCACCTTGTCTCCATAGCAATACATTTGCACTACTTATGTCGCGATGTATTATGGGAGATGGTTGCTTTAGGTGAAGGTAGTTTAGTGCCCGAGCAACATCCAGAGAAATAACGGATAGTTCAGATGCGGAAAGAGACTGCCTGGCGAGGGATCTCTGCTCTATAAATGCTCGTAAACTTGTTTCCAAGAGCTCTGTAACAAACAATGGATTCTCTTCGTCATTTGTAGCTCCAATAAACTGCAGCAGGCAAGGGTGGCGGCATCTTGATGCAATGACCAATTCCCGTTCAAACAATCTACGACTGTAAGGAGAAATGATCAAATCATGGATCTGTTTCACAGCTACAGCACAGCCACAATACCGTCCTTCCATAACACTTCCCCAGCCTCCACTACCAAGGCATTTTTTTGTCACCTCAACTTGATCTCGTGAAAGTACCCAATCAGGTGACTCCTGACGTTGACGTTCACTTAACGCTAATTGTTGAGCTGTTGAGAGACTAGTTTCGAGTTCAATCACTTCCTGATTTTTGGCCGTTAACAGTCTGTCTAAGGTTGTAACCTGATTTCGTAAACCAGCAATTTCTTCATCTTTTACTTGTAGTTGCCCTTGGACATTGGCCAATAGCTGAGTCACCTCTCTTACATGTAATTCTGAATTCACTAAATGTTCATCTTTCTCAACTAACTGCCTTTGTTAGTTTGTCAGTTGTTCCTCCATCCTCCTTACTGGTGCTTCACAGTTTACTAACTGATCATGCTTCTCTTGTAATTGTTCGTGTTCGTTTGCCAACCGCTGCTCCATCTCCCGAAACTGTTTCTGTGATCTGTCGTCTTGTTTTCGCTTTTCCTTTAGCAGGCTGGCTTTTTCCGACTCTTTCTCTTTCAGTTGTGTTTGGAAATGAGTCACCTACTGCTCCATCTCTTTCACTTGTCTGCGTAAACTCTATTCTTCTTCGTTATTTTCTCTCGATTTTCACTTACTTGCCAATTCTAGTAGCCCTCCTATTGGAGGAATGAAACATTAAAATGAGGGACACATTATTGCAAAACTTTGCAAGACTCATTGTAAAGAACTTGATACAGTAAAATTTCATCATGACGCAGCCAAAATTCTCTCGCTCCACACCCTCCCCTTTCACCCGATGATAAACAATAACCGGTCCCTTGGTTTAACTGCGATTGAACGAAGCGTAATTGTTATTCTAAGGAAAACAAAGTTCACCACTAGCAAGATTACAACGCTCGTTCGACCACGAGCACGATCGCAAGTAAGATTACGTTACGACGATAGTATGATCTGGCCTTAAATGTTCAACGCAAACACAAAAATGTCAGACTGACAAGTTTCTCAAGTTTCATAGTCTCTAAATGCCCTGACGAGATTAGGTGGAGATAAAGTGGAGACTAATAGACAGAGACAGTGATTAATTAATTAATTGTGTTCGCCAATTCATGAGTCTACCAATAAATAATGGAGAAAAAAGAATTAAAGCAAACGAAACACACTCCGGCATTTATTAACTAGAAACTCTACCCTTTTCCAACCGTTTCGGCTTTTCTTGAACATCTTTCCCTGCAGCTTCTTCAAATGCTGTCTTAGAAGGAACCAGTTTCGAGACACCTCCTTTGCTGTGTCCAGACCCCACTCTCTTACCCTAGATAAATGTGACAGACAGACACATCTACATTTAAAGACTGGGTAATTTCTTGCAAAATTAGCCTAAAAGAATACCTATGGCCAACTTGTAGATAAAGTACTTTAGAAATGAAACATGTTTGTCAACTTGCTATTAATAGTTTCGCACCAAAACTTGACAGGTAAAGATTACAGTGAGTGAAAGAACAAACAAAAAATGTCTCGGTTTTTTTTTTAATTCGTAACTTTGCTCTTAAGCTTCCAAGAAATCACGAAGAAATCCAGAATGATGGTAACCATCCAACTCCGCAGAATAATAAACACATTTCTCAGGCGATCTACAGAAATTGTACAAGACAATATCTAATTTTAATCTATTAGATTCGCCAACAGGCGGGGACACCGCAACAGCTTGCGCCAATTACTGTGGGTCCAGTAAACCCACCCATCCCACCCTAGGGGAGGACATCCACCACACAGTAATCTCATGCGTGGGAAATTAACGGCCTACGGTTTATTCGTCCTTATCCGAGAAGACTAGAATATCTATCCATTTCTTGATATTATAGAAAGGTAGCAAATTCTCCTCAGTTGTTTTAAGACCACGAGTATAGACCACTTTCATAAATGGATGCAGGATTAATATTCTTTTGTTTAAATTTAAATTCGTCCTACTGGCCTCGTTCTCCAGTACAAAATTCAAAAGAATACGTTATGAGT